TGACTATTGAAATAAAGTAAGTTCAAGTATTTTAAGTTGTCATTTGAGAAAAGTTTTTAAGGGAACTCTATGTGTTTCAAATGCATTATTTTTAGAGTAAAGCATGATTTGTTTTAAGAAAGCATAATCAGTTTGAGGAAGTAGTTTCAATCAGTTAAAATAAGGATTGGTTTTCCTTAAAGAAGTATTTTTGAGTTTTAACTCAACACATATATTACTATAAGCATAAATGCATGTTTTGGCAGTAGTATTGAGCATCGATTTGGGTAAGAGTTAAGATAACTCAAACCCCACAAACTATGCAGCCAACGTAAATAGAAATGTTTCGTTGGTCGCGACTCCTCACCCAGCCTCGTTGAGGGCTTTTTAGATGGATTCATAAGTTCAGTTTTGTTGTCCTATGCTCTAGCAAGGTATAGGATGGCTCTAGCAACGTGGATTGGACATTACATCATCAAAAGACTCATAGTGATGGTTGTCGGTTAGAGAAACTCCCCCAAAAAAGTAAAATATACTATTTTTAGCCTTTGATATATTGCATTGTCTCAGTAGTAAAGCTTTATCTGTTTTCATTACATTTACATGTTCTACTTTCAACTGAGTTACTTTTTCAGCTTATGTACTCGGTTGGCTTGATATTTCTTTTTTGTCATTTTTATATATTGTACATTCCATATACTGACACTTCAGTAAGATCTCATTTTGCCGGCTTATGCAGATTCAAGTACTCACGATAGCAGACGCTTCCATAAGATCTGTTTCCATCAGCAGTTGGTGAGACCTCCTTGCTTCCGAAGAGCTTCAATTTAGTTAGTTTAGTTTATTTGATTATTAGTCATCGTTAGTGGAATACTCATGTAGCCGTGATTCTTGTCCCGACACCTATCCCAATCTAGTAAAGGCTTCATGGACAAAATTTGCGAGTCAGTTCAGTCTTTAGTATTAAGATGTTTTAAACATTATTATTATTATTATTATTATTATTATTATTATTATTATTATTATTATTATTATTATTATTCAAATTTATTTCAGACTTTTGCATGAGATACCTTTAAATGATTTTAAATGTTCATTTTATAAGGCTCTCGCAAGTAAGCTTTGTCTTCCGCTCAGCAATTAGTCAGGCCAAGGATATCCTTGGGACCAACAATAGTTTTCGAGTGGCAGCCGCATCCAGGGTAGAGGCTCAGGGCATGGCATTCAATCTCAACTCTTAGTTTATCATATTTTGAGTCCCATATTATATTGTCTATACTCCAAATGCATAGCCCGGGGCATGCATGGGGTGCTGAGTTTTCCATATCAATCGTTGAATCTTGCCACATTACTATCTTCCTGCCTTTAATGCTTTTGGTGATATCTAACCAATTTTTCAATCACTAGTTTATCCTCTTTGCTAGAATATTGGTTGCAATCTTGTAGACATTATAATGATGGTGATAAACAAGCCTTACATTTCAAGAAAAGCCTAAGTGAATTAACTTTACTTATTAAAAAAATAATCTGATATATTGTAATTATATCACTTTATGTTGTTGATTTTCTTGTAACATACAATAACCTTGAAATGATAAACAAATTCAAGACAGAGATGAATAAAGTGTTAGAAAAAACAGACATGAGAGAAGTATCTTACTTTTTAAAATGTAGACCGTCAAACTCAAAATCAAGTGTTCATTTGCCAAAAAGAAGTATGTGAGAGAGATAATTCAAAATGAAATATTGCAGACCTATGAATCCTCCAATAAATAAGAAATAAAGCTCAATATTAAAGATGATCACAATGACCAGGTTGATGAGGCAAGTTATAAAAGTATGGTTGGATGTCTAATGTATCTCACTGCCATGAGACATGATATTCTGCAAGTAGTAAGTGTCTTGTTCAGAATTCTAAATTGTGCATTGAAATGCACATGAAAGCTGCCAAAAGAGTAACAAGGTATGTCAAGGGAACTTTAGATTGTGGTGATAAGTTCTATAAAAGTCAGAACTTCAAATTGCAAGGTTATTCTGATAGTAATTGGGCAGGGTCAACTGATGACATGAAAAATACTTTAGGTTATTGTTTTAACCTTGGTTCGACATATTTTTCATTAGGCATCGTGCCACAATCAACTGCAAAAGTTGGACTTATCATTGCAACAACAACTATTTATCAAGTTCTTTGGCTAAGGAAGATCATGCTAGATCTTGATCTGGAGCAACAAGGAAAGACATAAGTATTCGTGGATATTTAAGTAGCCACATCTATTTCTCATAATTCAATTTTTCATGGAAAAACAAAACATAAAATATCATATTGTACTTTCTCAGGAAAGTGCAAGGAGGAGAGATGAAATCGGTTTATTGCAAGTCAAAAGATCAAATTGTTGCTGTATTTACAAAGTCATTTCATGTAAATAGGTATGAATTCCTTAAAATGAAGCTTGCAAAAATGAGTTAAAAGTGCCTTATAGGTTTTCAATTAAAAAAAAGAACAAGTGGGCCCCCTTTACTTTTCCTCTACTTTTTTATTTTTAATATTACTAAAAGGACTAAACTAAAAACATCTTTCGTAGTTGTCTGGACAACTACTAAAGTTGTTTGGACAGTTGTGGGACGACTAAAGAAGTTGTCCCTACAACTACGACAGTTGTTGAACTAAAGTGTAAAAGTTAAAAGCTTGGGACTATTGAGAAAACATCTTTTAACCTAATTGATATTATTTGCCACTTCTATCCAATTTTTAAGATTTGAAGGACTCCTACCTAATTGACTAACTAGTTTGTCCATTTTAATAGACCTTCCCTTGCCAAAAGAAATGGGACCAAAGCTCCTAAAACAATCACCCATGTCAAATGGGAACCACTCGATGCTAATACCTCCAAGCTCAATACAAATGGATTCGTTAAAAAAACCCACGACCTGATGGCCTAGGAGGAGTTGTTAGAAACCACATGGGGCATTGGGTAATAGGCTTCACTGAACATACCCCTCTCACCAACCTAGTCAGAGCAGAGCTACAAGCTCTGTGAAATAGGCCTGTTACTCGCAGTAGAACATAAGATGACACCCCTTGAGATTAATATTGACTCGACTGATGTTATGCATATGATAAATCAAAATAATTTGCTCTATGATAGCTTGATTGTTGAGTGCAAGTGCTTAATGATGAAGCTGAAAATCACAAAGTTGTCCCATGTGTTCAGAGAGCAGAATAAAGTGGCGGAAGCTTTAGCCAAAGAAGGGACAAAGAAGGCTATTTTTTATGAACCCACCATTTTGATAGTTCCTCCGGTGTTTGTTCAGAATGAAATTGAAGCAGACACTCTAGGAACTAGTTATGTTAGGATAACATATAACTACGTTAATATTTCCCAAGGTCGGGATGTGACCCAAACAATTACCAATGGCACTCCATTATGATGGATGCACTAGTACTATACTTAACTTAATGCTTCAATGTTAATATATATATATATATATATATATATATATATATATATATAAATCCCTTCGACAAAAAAAAAAAGTTATTCAGAGCCTCACTTCTTCTTGATTCAAATTGTCAAACACTTCCTTACTCCAAGTGGTGATATCTTTCTTTCGATTTTTCAACTTTTGAAACAGTATAAAAACAGGTGTACCCCTCCCCATAGTCATGCCATCACTCATTTACCCTGTTTAAGAACCCCTCAGTTAGTAGCCACATATTTCGAAGTTGTAGTAGTAAATAGCAGTTTCGCAATCACTACTTTATAGGTTTGTGATTCTAAAGCACTCTTGGGAAAGTTAGTCGCTTCATTGCCCTAAAACTATCATTCCAACAACAACATATTCAATATAATTCTATAAGTGGAGTCTGGAGAGAGTAGAGTGTACACAAACCTTACCTCTTCCTAGGGAAGTAGAGAGGTTGTTTCAGAAATGTATCAATTCCCGAAACTTGCAGCATACTGCCACTATTATGCTACTCATAGCATAACTCCTCCCTTTCCAGTTATGTATATAACCCCATAAGATGATAATTCCCTCCTACTGGCACATACCTTAACCTCTTCACAATCAGCCATCTTATCCCCCATACTTGTCTAGTCAAAATCATCATCATTCTGCAAGTTGTCTCATGTAAGTAGATATTTCTGGCCTCCATCTACGAACTAATGATTTCAGAGTGTCCCTCTTGTTCCGATCATTTAGCACCCTCGTGTTCTACCTGAGAGTTTTTACTTTCATCCAGAGAAAGCAAATACTTCTTATTCCAAGACATCCCAAAATATGCACTTCCATTTGACATTTCACGAAATAGTGCACACAATGTATCTAACACAAACTAGTAAAAGGCATCTCAACTATTAACTTTGATGTAATTTTCACAAGTTAATCAGCAGATTAAACACTGCATTTAGTGAAACACCAAAGGGATAAAACATACAATGGCATAAAGGGAGTGTATGAATCACCAACATTGACACTTCCTTTTGAAGTGTCTGAACAATCTCTTTTGTGGGACAAAAACCACACGCATTACATATTGAATCACAATAATTGATAAAGCTATACATTTTCTGTTTGGACATCTCTGTTTTCGAGGGAGTTTCAGTTTGTCCCTCTTTTCCGCTGGGTTTTGGGGCCAAAAAGGAGAAAAATGGCACGAGATAGGGGGTTAGCTATTTTTTTTTTTGATAACCGAAAAATCCATATGTGACCTGCCCTTTGGACCAATCACAGCCTTCTAAACTTGGTGGATAATGGGTCCGCCCCTCTACCCTTCTCCACTTAAATACCAGGCTTTGATTTGCATGGTGTGGGGCTTGAACTTGCGACTTAAGTCACAAATCCTCCACCTTTCGCCACTCGAGCTAGGCCTTGGGGGCTATAGGGGGTTAGCAATTACAGAACAGATTTTTCTGAAAACTATAGTAGGCACTTATTAAAGCATCTTTTATAGCATAGTGCAAAAAGATAGGGGAAAGGATTAGGAAACAGGCAACAAATAATGGTGCAGAGTATATTATATCACATATCTTCAGTCAGTCAGGGTGAAATACTCAATACACTAATAGACATGACTTGAAATCGATGGAAGAAGTATACTATTATCTATTGGCAAAAATACCACTCATTCCTCCTCTTACTGCATCTTTTCTCGCTTGTTAAGGCAATTGGAAGATGAAGCAAATGAAGTCATTCTAGCGAATGGCTACCAAATTTCCCATAAATCCAAATCCTATCTCAAAATGTTTGGCAGTGGAAAATCCTACTTCAAGAGCCAGCTTCTCTAACTCGTTTCCTGTATCACAAATCATCCATTTACCACGGATTAAAGACACAACAGGAAAGAATGTTGGAAGAAGGTAAAGAGATTAGTCAATTTCCCAAAACTAAGGTACTTTTCTTCTTCTTCATTTCATCAAGTGAGAGAATTTAATGTCAACTTCAGTCTGCTCATTAATTGCTGTCTTACCTTTACCTTTTTTTTAAAAATAACGTTTTACCATTACAAGGGCTGATGGATGGGAAGTCAGGATTTATCTATTTTCTTCTTCAGCTCAGTATTCTCATGCATCATTTTTTCTCAATATTTCTCCCCGATAGAGCCTCCGGTTCTAATAAAGTATTTTTGTAAGAAAGCAAGAGAGACAAATGAAGTTGAACCAAAAGAGAGTTGAGAAATACATGCCAATTGAGTAATGTTTTTCTCCGGGAGACAATGAAGAAAAGATGAAAGGTTAATTTTTATCTGTTTGGGAGGTGTATAAAATTAAACTTATTTAAGGCAGAGAGGTTACTCATGTTACTTTATTTCTAAATACAAAATTTAAATAACATATCACAACATAATGCATGCAGAAGGCCTCAGAACTGCTTACAGCAAAAGTGAATCAATTAAAACTGCTTAAACTATAGTGGTAAAAATATCAGACCTGTCAGAAAGTCCCTGATAGAGCTTTTCAAGTATTTGTACTCATTTTCTAGGCCATAACCACTCGCTACAGGAACAACTATATTGTCGATCATCAATTCCTAAACAGAACATAAACCAAAATTAGACAAATATTGTAATACCACTCATGATAAGCTGAAAAAGAAAACATTAAGAAGTTTGCCACATAATAATCTGTGATGGAGATTCCAAAATTGTCCATAATGCAGAATAACAGATTAACCCTTGGAATCTGATGGATAGGAAAGTGGCTTGCTTTTTCAACTTGTGAAGAGAAGTGGTCCCAACTTTACAGAGAAACGAGCAGAGAATGTATGTGGATGCAGTTTCAGTGGATGGAAACTTTGCTGATATTATGTGGAGTAATATTCTTGAGCTATACTACAGTTGATATCCAGTCACATGGAATTATCCAACTTATGACGGGTGAAGATCACTACTTCTCTTCTGTATCATAAAGTAAGTTTCCCCTTCCGCTGCCCCCACTTTTCCTACACCCCAAAAGAACATGACAAGCTTCAAGAGTTTTATGTTTCCATTGTTGCATCAGTTTTGCTAAGTAACAACTAAAAATATGTTCTGTATAAGGACCAAAAATTATTTACTGACTACATCCTTAAAAAAGATGAGGGATGCATCCTTAAAGCACAGAAAGTTCTACATCAAATAAAACAAAAGTTAATGAAACCAATAACTTCATACAATTTGTGGTGGTGGAAAAAAAGTATTAACCTGCCAACAACTACCTGAACTGCGGTGCTCAAGGGGTTGATACTCTTATTGAAGTCAAGAACAGATAACGTTGAGCCTGGTTTCAAAACTCGACATATCTCTGCCATAGCTCTGTGTCTATCTACTACATTTCGTAATCCATAGCCAATAGTAACAACATCAAAGGAGGAGTCAGGAAAGGGTAAATCAAGTGCATTGCCCTCCATCCACCTTCATAATCATAATATATTAATCCCTCACCGTACTCGGGGAACATGAAAAACTAATCGGAAGGAGTAAGAGCACGGAAGATAATACACGTGTAACTGGTAAATGTAGTGTGTGAAATCATTTGGAACTTGACTAGACTTAATTTCCACAAGTGGATTTTGCTAAATGTGTTGGCAAATAACCTTTCAAACATTATCTGTTATATTGACAGTTTAATTACCAATGCTCACTTGATGTTCTTGTAACATGTCTTTGAACGTAATTTCTGCCGAGTCGAAGCGATTAATAATTGTTCATTTGAGAAATCAAGACCGACTGCCTGCAATGCCACACATACTAATGAACATCCGAAAATTTGGAAATTAAGATAACTAGCCTAAACTGCTTCGATCATGTAATCCAGTTACATTACAAAAACTTATGTAGATACAAAGGTTGCAAAATATAGTCAAATAACAGAGAAAACGCTTAATTTAGTGACATAAGAATTATGTGGCTCTGCCGCGAGCAGATTTTTATTTAATGTTTGAAATGAAAAAAGGAGCATATAAACATGTGTAAAGAGCAGATTTCTTTTCATCGGGAGCCAAACTCAAATGAAAGCAATGAACATTAGCAACCTGAAGACCGAAAAGCATGAAGATCACGGAAGGACAACAAAAAGAAACATTAATTATCAGGCAAGAGATTGACATCAGAAATATCATGAAGCCAATAATCTTTAGAAGAAGCAATGATTTAGGTCTTGTGAGAAATATATACGAAAAATATTATTGAATTGTGTATCTAAATAGTTACATTGAGACCCTATTTATAGACACGACATTGGAATCCTTTTCCAACTAGGATTTCTATTCTTATTCCTATTCCTATTCCTATTCCTATTCCTATTCCTATTTCTATTCTAAGTAGGAAATACTTATTTCTATTCTAACACTCCCCCTCAAGCTGGTGCATACAAATCATATGTACCTAGCTTGTTACAGATGTAATTAATACGAGGACATGTGAGGGACTTGGTGAAGATATCTGCAAGCTGATCATTTGACTTCACAAATTTCGTAACAATATCTCCCAAGAGTATCTTTTCTCTGACAAAGTGACAGTCAATCTCAATGTGCTTAGTCCTTTCATGAAACACTGGATTTGATGCGATATGAAGAGCCGCTTGATTATCACACACAAGTTCCATCTGATCAACTTTGCCAAATTTTAGTTCTCCCAGCAACTGTTTGATCCAAACTAGCTCACAAGTTGTTGTCACCATTGCTCGATATTCTGATTCTGCACTAGATCGAGCAACCACATTCTGTTTCTTACTCTTCCACGACACCAAATTACCTCCTACTAAAACACAATATCCGGATGTCGAATGTCTGTCAGAGGGTGATCCTGCCCAATCAGCGTCTGTATATCCAATGATATGCTCATGGCCTTGATCCTCAAAGAGTAGTCCTTTACCGGGAGCTAACTTTATATATCGCAGAATACGAACAACTGCTTCCCAATGACTATCACAAGGGGAAGTCATAAACTGACTTACAACACTCACAGGAAAAGAGATGTCAGGTCTAGTCACTGTGAGATAATTCAACTTTCCAACAAGCCGTCTATACCTTTCAGGATTACTAAGTGGCTCCCCCTGTCCGGGAAGGAGTTTAACATTCGGATCCATAGGAGTGTCAACAGGTCTACATCCCATCATTCCTATCTCCTCAAGAATGTCTAAGGCATACTTGCGTTGAGAAATAACAATACCTGATCTAGACTGAGCAACCTCAATACCTAGAAAATACTTCAATCTGCCAAGGTCTTTAGTTTGGAAGTGCTTAAAGAGATGTTGCTTCAAATCGGTGATACCATCTTGATCATTACCGGTGATAACAATATCATCAACGTAAACAACCAAATAGATACATCGACTTGGTGCAGAATGCCGATAAAACACAGAGTGATCAGCTCCACTACGAGTCATGCCAAACTCCTGAATTACTGTGTTGAACTTCCCGAACCAAGCTCGAGGAGACTGTTTTAGACCATAGAGTGACCTGCGCAATCGACATACAAGGCTACTAGACTCCCCCTGAGCAACAAAACCAGGTGGTTGCTCCATATAGACTTCTTCCTCAAGATCACCATGCAGAAAAGCATTCTTAATGTCCAACTGATGAAGAGGCCAATATCGAACGGCAGCCATAGATAGAAAAAGACGAACAGATGCAATCTTAGCCACAGGAGCGAAAGTGTCACTATAATCTAGCCCAAATATCTAAGTATACCCTTTGGCAACAAGGCGAGCCTTAAGTCGATCAACATGACCGTCTGGACCAATTTTGACTGCATAAACCCAACGACAACCAACAGTAGATTTACCTGCAGGAAGGGAGACAATCTCCCAAGTACCACTCTTATGTAAAGCAGACATCTCATCAACCATAGCCTGCCTCCATCCAGAATGAGAAAGTGCTTCACCTGTAGTCTTAGGAATGGAAATAGAGGACAAAGACGACACAAATGCATAATGGGGTGATGATAGACGATGATAACTTAAGAAGGTATAATGTGGGTTAGTATTTCGAGTGGATCGTATACCTTTTTGAAGTGCAAGCGGTTGGCTAGGAGGAGGCAAGTCCGCAGTAGGAGCAGGGTCCGGCGCATGACATGAATCATCTGGGACTAGGGTTGGACGTGGACGGCGATGATAAGTTAGTAGTGGTGGCACTACAACTGGAGATGTAGAAGTAACCGTAGATTCCTCAAAGGTTGGCACAGGTAAAACCTGAGGTATGGGTAAGACCATAGAGACATCAGGATGATCAGAAGATGTATAGTAAGGCAGAGACTCAAAAAATGTAACATCAGCGGACATAAGGTATCGATGAAGATCATGTGAATAACAAGGATACCCTTTTTGGACTCGAGAGTAACCAAGAAAGACACATTTGAGGGCACGAGGAGCTAATTTATCTTTTCCTGGGGCTAAGTTATGAACAAAGCATGTGCTCCCAAAGACACGAGGAGGGATAGGATAGAGATGTGACTGAGGAAACAGTATGGAATGGGGAACCTGATTCTGAATAGAAGAAGAGGGCATTCTATTTATCAAATAACAAGACGTAAGAACTGCATCTCCCCAAAAACGCAATGGAACATTGGATTCAAGGAGAAGAGTACGAGCGGTCTCAATAAGATGCCGATTTTTTCTTTCAGCTACACCGTTTTGTTGAGGGGTGTATGGACAAGTAGTCTGGTGAATAATGCCTTGGTGAGTCATAAACTCCTGAAATTGGGAGGATAAGTATTCTAAGGCATTATCACTACGAAAAGTACGAATAGAAACACCAAACTGATTTTGTATTTCAGCAAAGAAACTTTTGAAAATAGAAAATAACTCAGAACGATCTTTCATTAAGAAAACCCAAGTACATTTTGAATAATCATCAATGAAACTAACAAAATAACGAAATCCTAAGGTGGAACTGACTCTACTAGGACCCCAAATATCATAATGAACTAATGAAAAAATAGACTCTGAACGACCCTTAGTACTACGAGAAAACGTAGCACGAGTGTGTTTCCCAAGTTGACACGACTCACAATCTAATGTGGATAAACTAGACAAACTAGGCACCATCTTTTGCAGTTTGGATAGACTCGAATGTCCCAAACGTTTGTGAATTAGATCTGGGGAATCTGTAACGGAGCATGCTGCTAAGGAATTTGAAGAGGTAAGATAGTAAAGGCCTTGTGATTCATGTCATGTTCCAATCATCTGTCCCGTACTGCAGTCCTGCATGAGAAAAAAATCATCGAAAAAAGTTATGCTACAATGTAGGGCTTTCGTCAAATGACTAACAGATGCTAGATTAAAAGGAGAACCAGGGACATAAAGAACAGAGTCTAGGGTGACAGAAGATAGGGGTTTGGCTTTTCCAACCCCTTTTGGTTTTGTTTGGATCCCATTGGCTAAAGTAATAGCTGGAAGAGATTGTGAATAAACAATATCGGATAAAAGTGATTTATTACCAGAGATATGATCAAAAGCCCCAGAGTCCATGACCCATGATCCAAGAGTACTAGATTGCGACACACAAGCAAAAGAATTACCCACAACAGAGACATCAGGTTGTGCAACCGAAACTACTTGTGGAGACGTTTGCTTATTTGCACGATACTGAAAGAACTCATCATATTCTGTCTGAGCAATATGAGCATTATTGGATGGTTGATTAGGTTGAGCACCATATGCTACTGGTGGAGATGTTTGTTTACTTGCGCGATTTCGAAGGAACTCATTATATTCCTTTAGAACAATAGGATCATAACTGGGTGGTGGACCATGCAAAATATAACATATATCACGAGTGTGTCCAGGCTTATGACAATGACTACACTTGGATCGAAGTTTCCCAAAACGCCTTCCCCCTCGCCGATTCTCCATAGATTGATATGTACGCTTTTCAAAGGTTTGAGATGCGAGAATAGATGAGTCAACAGTGGGTGATGAAACTACCTTGTGACTGGGAGGTGCCGCAAGACGAAGGAGACGAGAGAATAATTCATCGATTGTAGGAACTGTAGGGCTAGCTAAAATCTAATCATGTACAGAATCATGATCAGGAGGAAGTCTAGCAAGAGTAAGAACTAGAAACAATGTTTGTCTGTGTTCTTGTTGTTTTTCCACATTCGTAGTAACTGGCATCAATGTGTCAAATTCCTCCATGGCTGCCTGTACCTGTCCCAAGTAAGTAGACATATCGGATTCTTGTTTCTTTAAGTTGGTCAATCGAGATATCACATCATAGAATCGAGATATGTCATTAGTGTATAAAGCACGAGCCTTTTGCCAAACTGTTTAACACGTCTGGAATGGGCGAAACAAGGGCATCAACTTGGAATCAATAGAACGCCATAAGAGACTACATAATTGAGCATCTACTTTCTCCCATTGTGCTTTGGCTTTTGCATCTTCCTCACTAGTCTTTGCCTTTACATCTACCTCATAAGCCTTGTTCGTTAAGTGATCTTGGACACCTTGACCCTTGCACCATAGCTCAACCGAGGAAGCCCAAGACAAATAGTTTGAACTTCCCAATAAAAGTTCTGAAGTGATTATAGGGCTAGAACTTCCAATCCCCATATTTTTGGAACCAAAAACATCACACCCAAAAGACATTATGCTAAATTTGTCTTGGAAACAATGAAAAAAACTTGATTATTGAGATCTGATTGTCGGAAAATTCAAATCTCAAAGAAAAGTCGCCGGAAACTGCCTGGAAATAGCCGGAACCCTAATTCCGGCGATCAAATCTGGTCAAAAACAGTATGGGCCTGGTCGGAATGGCTGGACGACCCCAACTGTCAAAAAAAATCTCAAAAAATATGATCAGAAAAGCCCTCACGCGCCGACGCGTGAGACAGATCTCGCCGGAAACTACCACCTCCGATCGGCGCGTGAGAGCGCGTGGGGTGATGTTTTCCGGTGGTTTTGGCTAGGGTTTGGTCGCGGGGGCTTTCCGAGCCTCGTGGTGGTGTTGGTTTTCGCACAACACCCACAGAAAGAAAAAAGAATAACAAAATCAGACCCAACAGTCACCGGAAATTGACATAGTCCTTTTCTTGTAGGAAAGGTTTTAGGACTCTATAAATATAGGCTTGTTCCTTCTAACTTAATTAGCATTCACAATGTAGTCCTAGGGTTTTGAGAGTTGTGGTTATGGAGGAGAATTTTGTGTACCTCCTTGTATTCCGAGTGAATTGATTGAGGTTGTTTCTCTCTATATTTTGTACTCTCATATTTATAGTGGATTGCTCATCTCCTTTGTGGACGTAGGTCGATTGATCGAATCACGTTAAATCTGTCTCTTTTGGTGTGTTTCTCGTTTGTCTTCTTACTCGTGGTCTTTCGAGGTTCACTTTGCTAGCTTCCGCATTACACCTGCTTATTTCGATCCTAACAAGTGGTATCAGAGCCAGATTCAATGATAGAGTCAGGTTCAGTGGTTCGATAATCGATGATTGAACCAGGTTAGAAAGATGAGTGTTCATCTTGGCGGGCGTAGTTCTAGCCGCAACTTTTTTGACAGTAATGAAGATTTTTGTTGGAGAAACTGTTTCAGAGAGGTTCTCTGTGTCGAGACGTAGATTTGATGGAGGAGATTATGGAGAAGAGATGCAAGATCCTAAAGATTATGTGAAGAAGGTGGACAAATTTATTTTGTCAGAAATTCAGGCCAAGGGGGAGATTTGTTGGGGTTATTTGCCCTGATTTCTTACCATAAATAAGTTTTCCTTTTAGGAAAAGGTTTTAATATTTTGACTAGTCTTTTTCTTGTAGGAAAGGTTTTAGGACTCTATAAATATAGGCTCTCAATAATAATTATCACCCTGAAATCTCAGTGCAACAAGCTAAAATTTGTAGATGCGCTTCACATATTAAAATGCATATGACATTCAGAAAGTTGAGTAATAACATACGACAGGATAAGCTGAGAATTGAAATAAGTGGAACAGGAACGCTAGTCCAGAGAACTTGTGAACTGCTAGATGATGTTATTCCATAAATGCTCACCAGAGGAGAACAGGTAAAACACAGCTAACAAAAGCGACCTAACAAATCAGGACCTATTCAAATTAGAAGTGACAATATCACCAGGTTCAAGATCATTCAAGAATTTCTTGTTTTTCCCATTTTTAATGAGTAATAAATACTACAAGAATTATGCCAGAGATGGCTTCTCCTATGCTAAGTTGTAGGAGCCCTGGTTTTCTACAACGAGATTTTTCATTATGCAGAAACAGAGAGGCAGGAACTGGAAGATGCATAAAGAGACGCATTAATTTGCTATATTATGAAGGATGTCGATTGGCAAAAAAAAAAAAGGCAATTGAACATAAATAAGCAAATTTCTGATTCTCACAACAGTGAAAACGATTAAACAATGGTAAAATGATCTCTTGATAACAAAACAACAGGTGCTATAAAACAGTTAATGGGGCACAAGTTTTTTTCTCTTCCTTGTAAGAATATTATATTTCTTAACTTCTTATCTCCAGGTGATAATCAAACACCACAGTAATTTATATCCTATCTTTCCTATTTTTCTTACTGTTTTCATTTCTAACAAAACAATGGAAAAATGACTGTCCTGAAATTTTGGTAATTCCATAGAGCCATCTGCTCAAATCAGCTTATTGAATTTCTCAGAATGGTCAGTGAAAAACTGAGTTGCTTCTGAAATGGTGAATAGTAACTAAAAACCGCAATTACACAGTGGAAGAACAGAAAGAATGAAAATAGAATAAAAGCAAACCAGAGATAGCAAAAAGAAAGAGAAGGGAACCTTGCCATGGGATCCAACTTTTTCAGACAAAAGAAACGTCAAATCCCCACTTCCACAACAGATATCTAGTACATCGTCCCCTTCTTTAACTCTGCAATACAAGTTCAACTGTTCCAGCTTAACTAGGACATAAACATAGTCCAAATCCAAGAATTATATGATTAAGAACAGAGTAGACGATGTGGAAATTTCATCTGTCCTGTGCCTCTTTTTTCCATTTGAATGGATTTAAATAAGGCACACTAACAGTGTAACCATTTTTCCATCAATAAACAGTGAACTACAGTTTATCGTAAGCATGGCCTATCAAAAGGAAAATGATATATTAGTGCGGATAACTTAAACGCATTCCTAATGTCCGGCATGTTTTCACTTTCCTAAAAATATTTTATTTCAATATTAACCATTATTAGTTTATTTACAATGCACAAGCATCTCATGCCTTACTAGTGAGAGATGCAGCTCTTTCGATGTGGGCTCATCCGAACTTAGTATTTATTATACAAAATATAGCTATATAATGCTTAAGCCGAAGGTTCTTCGGAAACACCTCTCTACCTCCACGAGGTAGGCATAAGATTTGCCTCCACTCTACCCTCCCAAGACCCCACTTGTAGGATTTCATTTTGGTATGTTGTCGTTGTTGTTATACTTTTTAAATCATGGATCCCCTCTGGCTTTACCCGTAGAATGGTAGAAGGGCAACATTTGCAGACAGAAAAGAAGCTTCCATTTTTCTCGAATTGTATGAAGGACCAATAGGCAAAAGATACTGTCAGATGAAAGGAAATATGGCATTTCTCTTCATTACCAAACTATGAAGGGTCCAAAAGAAACAGGTGAGATTATGTAATATCAGTCTCTACTGGGACAACACTCCTTAATTTTTTGGTTTACATATCTATTGTTTTTTAATCTAAAAACCATTTTTATAAATGTATGGAAAAAAATATATACTTAGAGAAAATTTTGACATCAATGTGTAAGCATTTAAATTAAATTGGATTCAAATTCATAAAATATGGACTATATTTTAAATCCAAGATATATTAATCCAAACAAATATGGTTGGCTAATATTATTTGACAAATTATTTGAGTCCACTAAATATGAATTTAACTAAAGATTCAGTTTCGTCGGGCTAATATTTATTTGGGATACAGATTATAAGCCACTTCGATAGACAAGATGTCATCTTATTCTAGAGGCCAAACTTGTGTCACATGTCAAATGGCGAGGCACATCAAGTTAAATGAACAACCCAAAATAATGTGACATGCCTTGTCAAATCAAAGGCTATGAAAATGTGTCATATGTACAAGTGGCATGATTCGACCAATCAAATGTAGTCTTTTCACTGCTTCAACTTGATTGGTCGGTGATTCATGCCAACTCATCAAAGAAACAAGTTTGTCATCATCACAACTCTTCTCCCCACAACTCTTTTTAAGGTAGGATAAAATTTATTAATAAAGTACCAAGATTGTACAAAAATTACAGCAGAAAGAAAAACTCAGCCCAACCAACCATTGTGTGCTTCTCCCTAACATATCTAGAAAATCAAGATATTGATCTATTTCGTTCTTACAAGTCCTTATGCCAAATAGTAAAGATTATGAATACAGTTGTTTTTTACCATTGAAATGTGACTCTTTTTGCCTTCAAAGCATATATGTTTCTTTCCAGCCTTAGAATCCACAAATTACGAAGTGAAATGTTCTCCAAATTTGTTTCAGCCTCTTTGTCTCTCATAACTATAGATAGGGATTCTCATAATTCAAAAAAGGGGACAAGAATTCAGAACAATAAACAAGAGAAAGCTCGTGGATCAAAGGCTATAAATTTCTCTACACGCTACAAACATTCAAGAATTCCTCTACAATTTTCAAATCTTGAACATCAAAAACGAAGGCAAATCGAATACCAAGACGATCAAGATCAAAGTTACTTTTTCATGAGATAATTATTATGTGTGGCAGTCATCAAAGCACTTGCGACGACTAAATCAAAGCCACATTCAAGTTCAAGATTACATTTCAAAATAAAGTTCAAACCACCTTGAATATTCATACAAGTCAAGATCAAGCTCAAAGGCCATAAACTTATTTCAGAAAAGAGGAATCATAGAGATTGTAATATTCATTGCATTGAAATAGAATACTACTATTGCTACAATATTTTCGTGACACCAAATTCATTGTCTACGGCATCCTGCTATATAGGACATAAACCGTAGTCCTTCTAGTCCATATTAAGTAAATTGTTGTTGTATGACACCCCTTAAGAAAAATATTTAGGCACTATTACCCTTTTGATTATTACCAAACTATTTCCTTTAGAAAATGTACAGTTGTTAATAAACTCATTAAAAGAAGGTTAAATATGGAGAAAAACTCAACAATTCTCTAAAACATTGAATAATTCACTTATTTCGAACTATAAAAAAAGTTAGAACAATTCAACTAATATGGAATAGAGGGATAAGTAAATAGAAGAAAGGGAGAAATAGGTTTACCCGCTCCACGAAACAGCCATTCTTTTCCATATGCGGTGTTGACCCAAACTCAGGAGATCATTCAACTGCAAGCATGAAAATTGTGTAAACAATAAACATATAGCTATTAAGGAAGTGACAAATTGAGTAGTGAATGGAGGAGAGGTAGTGCGGTGCGCACATTATCATAAACAGGGGCAATGCGATTAAACAGCGCTTGCCGGTCCGCGGAGCACCGAATTACCAACTTGCCTGTTGGCCGGAAACTGGGACCGGGAAATGAAGAAAGAGCAACGTGAAGGGAAGCCATTGTCACTTCGGCGCTGCAGCTCTTCCCTTTGATGATGACTTTTTGTCTTTAAAGGATAATGTCAGTTTGGTCCTCTAGTTTTCATAAATGTTTTCAATTTGAACATAAGAAAATCATAAATGACAAAGCCAATTGAAATCAATAATGCTAAAAAGAAAAAAAAGAAAAAAGGGAAAAGGGAAAAGGCTCAAATATATCATGGGCTTTGAAAAAAAGTTCATATGTGTCATCGTTAAAAGTTGAGCAACTTTCACATATAGCAAACACAAAAATCATATTTGTATGTTATAGCTATAGTTTGCTTAATTACGCTTCATAGCAAACATAAATATGTATATTTCGCTATACATATAGAAAAGAAAGCAGTTGTATAATTTCGTTATACATATACAAAAGAAAGCAGTTGTATAATCTGTTTTGGTATACATATACAAAAGATCAATTGTATAATCTGTGTTTGTATACAATGAGAAAGAGAGAAAGACAAAAGAAAATTGGGCAGGAAAAGATAGTATTTGTATAATCATAAGTGTATAGGACAAAAATACATGCATTTGTATTTGTATATACAATTTTCTCTCACTTTATACAAACACAAACACAATGTATACATTTGTGTTTGTATAAAGTGAGAGAGGCGAGTGAGCGAGCGAGATCTGGGAGAGTGGCGAGCAAGATTTGGAGAGGGGAGAGAGGGGAACGAAAATGTATGTATATATACAATTTTCTCTCGCTTTATACAAACACAAACGCATTTTATACATTTGCATTTTTTTATAAAGTGAGAGAGGCGAGTGAGCGAGCGAGATCTGGGAGAGTGGCGAGCGAGATCTGGGAGAGGGGAACGAAAATATATATATACATACAATTTTCTCTCACTTTATACAAACACAAACGCATTTTATACATTTGCGTTTGTATAAAAAGCGAGAGAGGCGAGGAAGAGAACGAGAGTGGCGAGCAAGATTCACCAGGAGAGAAGCGAAATAACAACAATTTGCTATGGGGTACAATTAAATCAAACTATATTTATAGCATTTAATTTGAATTAATAGTTTGCTATTATATACAATTTTCCCTTAAAAGTTTGGTTCATTTATGTCATTGCTGTTAAAGAAAAAACTCATTCATGCTATTTTTTTAAACTCCGGTTTTGCAAAATCATTTTTTACATCCCAAACAATTTTTAACACTTTTCCGTTGGAGTTTTTGGATCAAATGTACTCTTTTGCCTGCTTCTTTAAACACCAAGAACACATAAAAAACATTCACAATTCCTAAATTTCAAACTTCTTTGATTCTTCACGAAATCACCTCAAATTTCAAGAGTAGTTTCCCTCCAAGCTAGATATTAAAACTCAATATCTTTTGAGCACGAATTCAACCTAACTCAACAAGACTCACTTGAAATTTCTTTAAAGTTTCAAAACTTCAACATTCTTTAATGGTAAAATTTTCTCCACAACTTTAAATCATTTAAAATTTTGAATATAGACTCAAAAAACAATAGGGAACAAAGATCAAAATTGAGAAGGAGGTGACAAAAAAGTGTTGAAATTAAAATTGATGACAAAAAAGGATTGACCAAGTCAAACTTATTTTAATTAGTGATTAAGATAATTGGGGTCTAAAATGTAATATTTAAAACTTCTAAACTTTCAAAAATATTCAAAATAAATCCAATTTGGTCCTCTAGTTATCATAAATGTTTTCAATTTGAACATAAGAAAATCATAAATGACAAAGCCAATTGAAATCAATAATCCTAAAAAGAAAAAAAGAAAAAAAAAAGGGAAAAGGCTCAAATATGTCATGGGCATTGAAAAAAAGTTCATATGTGTCTTCGTTAAAAGTTTGGTTCATTTATGTCATAGCAATTAAAGAAAAACTCATTCATGCTATTTTTTAAAACTCCGATTTTGCAAAATCATTTTTTACATCCCAAACAATTTTTAACACTTTTCCATTGGAGCTATTGGATCAAATGTACTCTTTTTGCTTCTTCTTTAAACACCAAGAACACATAAAAAAAAAAAAACATTAACAATTCCTAAATTTCAAACTTCTTTGATTCTTCACGAAATCATCTCAAATTTCAAAAGTAGTTTCCCTCCAAGATAGATATTAAAACTCAATATCTTTTGAGCGCGAATTCAACCTAACTCAACAGGACTCACTTGAAATTTCTTTAAAGTTTCAAAACTTCAACATTCTTTAATGGTATAATTTTCTCCATAACTTTAAATCATTTAAAATTTTGAATATAGACTCAACAAACAGTAGGGAACAAAGATCAAATGTCAAAAACAACTACAAAAACATGAATCAAAGCAATTTTTTGAAATTTTGGGATTAATTTTTGTTTTTTTTTTAAATTTCTTTTTTACTATGGGTGAATTTTTAAACTTTACAAATGATTTTAGAATTTTGGTTTTTCAAAAAAAAATAAAAATAATTATGTAGCCATAATTTGAGATGATTTCATGAAGAATTGAATATGTTGAAAATTTGAGAGTTGTTTATGTTTTTCATGTGTTCTTGGTGTTTTAAAGGAATAACAAACAAAAAGAGTATATTTGATCTAAAAACTTCAATTGAAAAGTGTTAAACCTTGTTTGAGGTGTAAAAAGTGGTTTTGCAAAATCGGAGTTAAAATATGGCATGAATGAGCTTTTCTTTAACAGCAATGGCATAAATGAACCAATTTTTTAATGGATGGCATGAATGAACATTTTCTGAAAGTTCAATGACATATTTGAGTCTTTTCCCAAAGAAAAAAAAAGCTTAAATCATATGTCCTGATTGTCTCCATTATTTTTATTTTTTTTATACTTAAATAGTGGGCCTATTTTTTTCTTACTTTTGACATTTAAATAGTGGATCTATTTTATTTGGCTCTTCATATGGAAAAAAAATGGCATAGCATGACAACCTATAGAGTTTATTGGTAATAAATAGTCCACTTTAAATTTTTTAGCAAAAAAGATTTTTTTTAAAATATTTATTTGGCATTAAATAGCCACATTCTTTTATTTTTGAAAATTGATTTTTCTTCCAGATTTTCTCTCTTTATTTCCTAGCAGTTAGCTTGTTTACTTTTATTGTTCTTTTTTTCTCTCTCCTTATAATTTGTCAACAAAAAATTTACGTATTTTTCAATTCTCTCTTTCTTTCCTTTTTTTTCCTCCCTCTTTCAAGTTTAGGATTTCTATCTTCTTCTCTAAAATACTTCCATTAAAGATTAATCACAACAGTAACTCTTCACAATAAGTAACTCAAATCATACCAATTTTTTTTATATTGGTTGTCTGGGATATTTTTTTTAAAAAGTTGAGATTTTCTACAGTCTTTATCTTGTAATTGGATGCAACATTTTTTCTTTTTACAAATTTTCATATTTGTATTATAATTTTACAACATTTTCTCCCCCCAAAAATTGCAACATTCATGAATTCTAGAATTGACGTTTTTTTAATTTTTAATAAATAATTAATTTATATATATACAGTAAAACCTCTATAAATTAATATAGGCGGGACCATGAAATTTTATTATTTTATAGAGATATTATTTAATCGATAAATTAATATTTATTAATTTAAAGAATGATTTGAGATTTTATGAAGGTTAATTTTGATTATATCAAAATCATTGTATCTTACTAATTTGTGTATCATATTTATTGATTTCACATAAAAAATGTTATACATAAAGTACAACGAAACATCAAAATCATTGTATCTTACTAATTTATGTATCATATTTATTGAATTATCACTATCGTGCAAACAAAAGATCATGGATGACAAGTGTGCTTTTTGATGAATATATTTGTTGGTTTGACCACAAAATGCATGGTAGATGAGTTTTGCTTATGGTAGATAATTGTCCAGCTCATAATAGAAATATTGAAGTACTACAAATGGCTGAATTGTTTTTCTTGCTACCCAACATGACATCCAAAATTCAACCTTGTGATGCTGGGATAATAAATGCTTTCAAAATGTATTATCATAAAAGATTTTATCATAGGATATTAGAAGGCTATGAAGTGGGACAAACTGATCCAACAAAGACTACTGTTTTGGATGCTATCAATTTTGCAATCCCTGCTTGGAGAACAAATGTTATGCAAGAGACAATAGCAAATTATTTTTGACACTGTAAAATTCGTTCAGAAGATGCAATCTCAGAGAATTTGAATGAACCCACTTGTGAAAATGTCATTCATAAACTTGAGGTCATGTTTAATGATCTCAGTTACCACAATAAAATGGATGTCAATAACCTGTTGGATTATCCAGGTGAAAGTGATACATGTTCATAGGTCCAGAGCTTAGAAGAAATTGTGAATATCATCAAAAAAGTGATGTTGATGATGAAGTTGAAGATGATATTATACCTTTGGAATCAGTTACTCGTAAGGAAGCACTTATCTCATCTATAACTCTTAACAATTTTATGGTACACTTCAAAAAGACAACACCGGAGTTCTTGGATGCAATAAGAAAAGTTAAAGACGAGCTTCAACTAGATTTAAATTTTAAGAAAAAACAAAACACAATAGAATCATATTTCACTAAATTGTCTTAGATATATTCGTACTTTTAAAGAATGATTAATTTATGATATTAATGGGACCATATATTTATATAGGGGTCTTCAGGAAATATATTATCTTATTATCTTATCGAAATTGGTGATATTTTCCATTGACCCAAGTCGGGACCGGAGGAAAATATTACTTTAGAGAGATTATTAATTTACCGAGTATTAATTTATAGAGGTTTTACTGTATATATATTGACAATTTTTTAAAATATTAAATTTCGTTGATTGAATTTGATAATGAATATTTATTTTGTCTCCAACAAATGTATCTAAATTTGTTAATGAATACAAACGAACAGACAACAATGTAAACTTATCTAAATTTGTTAATGAATTTTGTTGATTGCATTCCAAAATAGTAATGCAAGCAATTGTATACCTATGTAAAATTAGAAAGATACTAATGCAAACAA